CCATGGAAAACCTGAAAACACTGGACGGTCGTCTCATCCTAGTATGGGGCGCCTCAGTAGTGCGCATCCATGATTCTACTTCGCAAGATTTGAACCCAAGAACCTGTCAGTCTCTCTTGAGAACGCTTAACCTCTAGACCACTGAGCTGGCCGGCATCCAATGTTGTTAATGTCTAACTTCAACTAATTCACGAAATTGAGTGACTAAAGTTAACTCTGCCTATAGCTCTCCTAAAGTTACTGCCCGTTTCATGTCCGGGTAAAAGAGGAGGGTTAAGTATGGGATCGACAACCATATCCCATAGAAAACAACCTTGTTATAAAAAAACAATTACCAGAAATGACTAAAATTAGCAAACAAAAAGATTATTTAACTTTTAATTTGATCACAGAGAACTTTCAACTTTTTCTTCTTTTATTTTCACATGATAATCACATGTCTTCAACAATCTTGATTGACAAATGCATTCAGTAAATTATTTTAGTTCATCAAAACTTTACACTTAATCTTAAATCATTCACTTTATGGTTACATTCTAAACTAGAAATACTTCATTAAGAAGGATATTTGAATATCTGTTTACTTATGTTGCTTCTTTTTCAATTATTCTAGTTCATAGTCATATATAGTAGGATACAGAATTCCTTTTGATTAATCTGAAGAATAAAAATCTAAATCTCATAGACAATAATACTTGTTAGTAAAATCATACTTACAAACTTCAGTTAAAAGAGTATGCAAAATTGATGTTCATTGATTGTCACAATCCTGCTAATACTAATACCAAAATAATACACATAAATTCAAATCCACATCTGATTTCAGTGTAAACAAGGTGTGTACAACAGTGAATTCGAAGAAGCACGTATCGTCTCATTTGGAACTTGTCGGCTGGATGTACTTACATTTGAGTTAGCGTTCATTTCGGTACACAAACCTAGTACCTGACTCATGGCAACTGGATACAGATAGTCACTCACTTGAGTCATAGGTATGAATTTTAACTTAATTTGCAATGAATTAAATTATTCTGTTATTGGTATTTTGATTTTGTTGAGAAAGCTGATGGGTCCGATTCCCGGATTTAACATAAACTGTGGGATGAGGACACATACACTTGATATGTCCAAAATAAGACGAAACGCGCTTTCTCGATTCCACTGCTAGCTACATTCCACTTATATCGTATAAACTTGTGTCATAATGGTTATATTGAAGCAATCCGCACAGAATGGGCATGTAACAACGACGTCAAAATATGAACAATAGGATAATCCAGTAGTTTAGAGTTAAAGCAATCTCACTGTAATTTAAATTCATATATAATGGTTGTTTTAAATTTCCCCATTGCTGTTTAAGACTTCCACAGATCAGTTTCTTTTGATATACAACCACCCTGTGTGGATTGCTTGAGGATTGCCACTAAGTCACAAGCATTTTAAAGAGATGGATCATGCCTCAAAGTGGAATCTAGGATGCACGTTTCTTTCTTTTTAGGGACTCTTAAACTGAATGTACCTGCATCCCAGAGTTGCTGTACATTTCGGTACTCGAATCCAACACCTTTCGCTTCAAATGCCATCACACTATCTATCTAGCTACTGAATCCAGGTAGAAACTGGCTTGTGCAATTGTATGAACTGAGATTTTGATTCATATACAATGGTTGTCTGGAACTTTCCATTGATGTTTAGGACTGCAAATGATCAGCCACTTTTTGGCTTGCTAGCTTATGGATGATACAAGGGGATTTGGAGCGAAAGTTTCTGAGTTCGAGTTCACAGATTGGATATCAACTCGGATGCAGGTACGTCTAGGCGACGAGCCCAAATAAAACGAAAGTCGCTTTCTAAATCTGGCTGCTAACTACCATCCATCTCCGTTTGTAATTTTACTCTAGTTTGAAGGTTCCCCCAAAAAACACAAATTTCTAGTCAACTCAACAGGACCATACAAGATGCTTCCATTATTTGCTAATAATCAACAAATTCAAATGTAGTCATCCATAGTTATATTTCCAACCTCGCTGATAGGATTCGATAATCTTTGGAGAGTAAGCAACTTAGTTTAAGTTACTTTATTACTTGTGACAAATACTGGTATGAATGCCTTCACCACTCACCAATACTACAACAGACCAACGGTTATTGGACCTACCTAAATATGATCTTTTTAGAGATTTCAATAAATTATTGTTAAATAAAATTAAGTACGTTCTTCACATTGAAATGTTCCCATTAGCATCATGAAGATATGGAATTTTTGTTGGGTAATTAACTATTTGTTTAGAACACAATAGAATAAATAATACTTATTCCCAGAAGTTCTTAAATTTAAATAGCGAACTGCTTACGAGTCACTAACTAGAGTGAAACACTTATTGACATTCTTTAAATAAATCGAATATTTACAGACCCTTTAATTGATCGAAAAGTCTTCAGGTAGATTATATGAAATCCTATTGAGAAGTCTTGACCTACACAGTTTACAGTAGTGGGTATGATTGTCAATGCTTTTATTATGTCACAAAGAAAAATAATACCAGGAAATATACACCCTCAAATTTCATAACATTAAATAAGTGAAATTATACATATTGGAAGATGAGTGGACTCTGGATTTAATCTTGTGTTCAATCAAAAAGAGATCATTACTGAAGAATTTAGAAATATGAAAACTAACAGAAGTTTATTTAAGCAAAGACGGATAGTGACTATCAGTAGAATCCAGGACGTGCGTTTCGTCCTACCTGGGACTCTTCAGCTGTGTGTACGATCAGGATTCATCAGCTAAGTGGATAACACGATAGAGTTTGAAGCGAACGGTATTGGGTTCGAGTCCCGGAGTGAACATCAACTCGGAGATGCACTTACAATTAGCTGACGAGTCACAAATAGGACAAAACGCGTGTCCTGGATTCCACTGCTAGCCACTATTCATCTTTGATTAAAAAGTTTGGGACTTGAAGCAATATCGAGACAATCCGCAAAGGATGCACATATACCAACAAGGGACTGATCAATTACAGTTCTAAATAACAATGGGAAGATACAAGTAAAACGACAGCAAGTGGATTTAACAGAAGTCTAGTTCTTTTTTATGTTTAATGTATTAGATAATATTGACCTTCAATCATTAAAACATAGTTTCAAATTAAAAGTTCTATAAACCACTTTATATATAGATTTTCTATTAATTATATGAATAATTGTACGTATAACTGACCTTAAATATAGTTAAACATACCACTTATTGTTAGTTAAATTTATTTACCGATAATCTTTTTCAGGACATGCGATATGACCAAATAAAGAAGAACAAGTCTGCTCAATAAGAAATTAATTATTTTAATAAGATGTTTCGTAATTAATTACCTTAGTCAAAACTTTAACTAACCAGTTAGGAATTATTACCAAAGTCTGATTTGATAACTTTGAATAAATTGAACAAAAGGTACATTCGAAGTCTAGCATAGTGCCATGATAGAATGGAAGGACAAAAATGACTCCTTAAACTAGACAGGATAAAACTTTACTATAAAACAACTATTAATCTACGAAAATTTTCCATAGGAATCAAAGAAAAACCTTCACATCTCAAGTAAAGAACTGTGTCTACAGATTAGAATATGTAGATTGTAATGCCTATTATATTCGACAGTCATCTCACGAGATCATAACTAATGTCAAGGAGCATCTAAGTTACATAAAAAAAGATCTATTAATCCTGTAGAACTCGAGAATCTTCGAAATAAATCAGCAATAACAGTGCATTTTATTGTTCAAAAACACCGAATGGATATTATATCAAAATAATCCACAAATGTTTTCCCAAATATAAAGGCAAATTGCAAAAGTTTCTCAAATACTACCAAATTCTAATGTGCTCAAAAGAAAATAAGGTATTATTGTCTATCCAATTTGAACCATTTGTCCAAATAGTCATACATAATGCGATTGTTAATACATAACGTTGAATGAAATATATCAAGTTTAATTTGATAAATCATATAAGCTATTTTCTGTTCACATATCATGAGTAATACAATAAAGTAACTTGAAAGGGGTTAAATTAAATTCTATAACGAGCCTTAGGTTTAATACATAATATATTCCTTAAATTACTTATTACATATACAATCTTCATCCTCAGATAAGTTTATATTGTTACACTCTTTGTTTGAACAATTTTCATACTTTTGATCAAATATGTCACCGACTACCACACATTCGACTGAACGCGATACTTTCAAATTTCTCAGAGAGCACAACATACATCTAAACCGCTGATTTAAAATTCAGTAATCCCCATATACAACTCTAATACAATTGCATTGTGCGTTACATGTTTTTGTGAAGTTTCAAGAGAAGACCTCATAGGTTTATTTTCTTTTCCTTTAGTATCGTTTTTGAGATAAAGCAACTTTAACTTTTGTTACAAGAACTAATCTTGAGTATTTTACAACACTGAACTGACTTTCTATTTGAATAAAAACAAATCCACTGTTATAGTTCTATTCATAGTTTTGAAGAGTAAGTTTGACTGTTCTTATTCTTACATATAATTGGAGTGGCCGAAAATACTTCTTTTGGATGCAAAGCTCTGGCTTTTTGATCCGAATAGCAATTGTTTCAGCCGTCTGTAGGATTCGCAGTCTGACGGAATTATGTAGACTGTTGTTAACACGATAGACTATTGCAAAAGTTATATTAACAAATGTTCTAGGAATTTGTACATTCGGGCTCGTGAGCCCCTCCCCGTGTGGTTAAGAAAAGGTTTAGTCAAAACTGTTGACAGCTCCATCTCAGACCATCTAGTTCAAACAGGACATACAGCCAACATGAAGCAATCTTTTGCAATAGTCTATCGTCTTACATATAATTACTAAGAATGATTTTGAACAGTTATCGTATGACATAAAAACAAGTTGATCCTTTTTTTGTTGAATACTACTGACCACTTTTATTATTAGTAATAATAATAATAATAGTAATAATAACAGACACAAATTTTGGTGGTTAAAAAATAGAAGAGCCAGTGCACAAATAGATAAGAGAAACTATGTTTATATTTATACCGACAACCAATAAAAGAGAATATTAAATGAAAGAGGAATGGCAAAATAATTAAGCTGAATTCAGAATTTAATGAATAGATACATTAAATTCTATTCTCATGTAAGGTAGACATGTGATAAAATTCTCAATAGTAAACATTTGTAGACAATTATAGTGTTATTCAATTTTTAACCAAATCTCTGCATTACCATCTTCACCATTCATTAATGATGGATCGTATATAATCCAATAATACGGTTCTGGCATATAGTTAAAATTACCTTCTGATAATTGTCCAATAAAATCCTTTGTTTCATCCATAAATTCATCTTGTTTAATAGATTTTAAATGGAAACGTCTGCGCGTATTCAAAAGAATTCAAGATGGAAATGTTTTCAGTAAATAAAATATGAATTAAGTCATTGAACAATATCTACTATAAATAATGTGAGAAGAGTAAAATCTACCTCATAACATGAATTCATCACACTTCAAGTTTAATTATCGGCTACCACGGCCTAAAGTTACCTTGATAATATTTATAAATTGAAATCAATGAAATTTAGTTTGAAATGACATGCAAATGAAGAAGAAGAAGAAGAAACAGCATATTTCACATAAAATTGATAAGTATTTCATCTCTTAAAGATGAAATCATCAAAGGAGAGAAGGGGTTGAAGTTGTAAACGATGATAAAACGGACATTGAATAAAAACAAATGAGCAATAATCAAGCCATCTAGCTGATATTAAATTAAAGTTAATATGGTTACTGAAGGTCAACAACAAAGAGATAACGTAATTGACAAAAGCTAAAATATGATAATATGGTACATAAATATTACCAATGCAACTCTAGGTTGTTTGTAGCTCATGATAAATATTGATATATAATGAATTCATGTTGTACCGCATTTCCTGTTCTTCTTGCATCATTTAAATTTACCAAGGGGTCGGGATGCATGAAATGCTCAGTGTGTACAATGTGTTACATTTTAGTAACCAGTGTAACTAATACTTACTGAATACAAGTTATATATATATATATATATATATATATATATATATATATATATATAACGTGTAACGTTTAGCATTATTAATTAAATTCTTAAAATGAAGTAGATACACTAAGCTTCAAATGTTTATGATCAAGTGAACCACTTACCGTATTGTATACACCAGGAAAAAGTACATATATGATAACCAACACAACGTACAAATAATTAATCTGTGTGAAGGTCCCGGGTTTGATCTCTGGTCGCGCGGTTGCGAACGCAAATTACTAAGGAATCCTACACTAGGAAGAAACGCCCGTTCAGTACTTCCAGGTTTTCAAAAGTGGTTTAACCTAGATCTACTCATGATTTCAATGTAATTCAACAATATTCATAGCCTATTACTGATAATAACCAAGTCAAAAAGCTATCGTTAGAGCTCAATAACAAAGTTTAAAAATATTCGTTAAAATTATCCTAAAACTTTAGGGATAAATTACAACTTATTTGCCAAACAATAGAGACTTTTTAAAAACTGACTGCACTTTACATAAGACACTAGCGAAGCTATGGCAACGATGTAGCTACCCAAGGGAGTTCTAACGATATATCCTTATTTACAAAACGACAATTTCCCGTTCTTTCTTTCAGAAACCATAATTCTAAGAGACATTTAGTATTTATATTTTCGAAAAATACAGGAATATCCAGTAACTCCAAGGTCCTATACAAATGCTCCGTTGATAGGAAGATGTTGTGAACGAGAAAACAAGTGGGTACAACCAATGTACTTTTAATACAAAACTACAGAATATTTTGGTAAAATACGAGAACTATACATTGAATACTTCATTTGCAAATTTCCATCATTTGTACTCCACACTTCCTATGATTCTTCCAGTTCACGACTTCATCCTATTTCCTCTTTTATTCTCTTCTTTGTCTTCTGCTGCCACTCATTCAATTTATGATTGGTGTTACATACTACTTATGTCGATAAGCATAGGTAACACACACCATACTATAGAGATGAGAGTATTATATAATCGTATTATAAGACTATGAGTTCAAACTTTGTTTCACGTGGTATGATGCAAGTATTTTATTCACGGGCATTGGGTTTATTACACACATAAGTTTTCGGAAAGTATCAATAATATACATGAAAATCTTACTTTATATACACAGAGAAATTAGGCCATTCGCTTTGGAAAATATGAGGTGATTCACCACACGCTTTCATGCCAATCTGATCATCTGTCACGTGCCGAAGTACCGTGAATAATGATTCGCAAGCAGGTCCTCCACTTGGTCTGATTTCCACAACAGTTGGATATTTATTGCAGTCTTTTGAGCCTAATTAAAAAACCGTATACAAAAAACCATTCAAAATGAACTCAATCAAGTCAAGTCTTAAACACTCGCATTAAATTAAGTCTTTTAAATATACTGCCCTTGGCATGCTTTTGATTTGTCTGGTTTCTTCATTTGTATTACGACTAATACAAATCAGAATAATGTATAGTTTCAACCATAGTGGATTTTTATACATTTATGTAGCCATTGAAAGATGTGTTATGTCGAGACAAAACATTGCTTGCTTAGATTTTAACGTATAGCTGAGCTGTTATGACAGAAAAGTAGTTATATGATCTCTAGTTTGATTAAAAACGAGTTTACGTGTTAGTAAAACTGACGACCTATTTACCAATTGGCACACTGATCAGTGAACATCAACAAAGATTAACGCTTATTGGTCCTCAAGATCCTTCTAACTCAGTGATCAACCATAAAACGAAGATAGAAAGTAGACCAGTTCTCTATTGTACTGAAGTTAATCATGAGTCAAAATTAATTTATTAATATGATTGAAATATTTAACCACACGGCAACACAACTATTAAATTACAATGTGAACATAGGTTAGTCATAAGCGGTACAAAACTAGAGTAAGAAGTAAATAATAAGCCAGGGAAAAACATGGGACAATAAGGTATATGAAAAGTTTACAAGTCAAATACCAAGCTACAATCTTTAAAGCGGTCCTATTTGTGGTCTAGATACTCTAACAAACTGATCACAATATCCTAATCAAAAACAAAGTGAACGTAATGGTTTTAAAATAGACAAGTTATCTTTTAAATACACCAATTTTAACTGAATATCGCGACAAATAGCAGAACGTAATACTAAAGCTTTAAAATGCTTTCTAATGTACAAAAATGAAGCAAAAAACCAAAATATTTTACACATTAACATATGAAACAAGACAAATTACCAAATTTTTCGGCGAAAGCAACTTCAACTTGTTCCATAATTTCATCAAATGTCATACTCTCATTTCTGTAACCCATCCATTTACTCACTCGAACAGATCCCTTTTTGACTTTCTGCCAATTCGTGTAATTTTCCTACTTAACTTACCCCAGATTCATAGGATTCCAATACATCATACAAAGGGCTGCACATCTTTCAGCAACGTTATTTTAAAATACCTGCAAAAGATATGTTATATATATATATATATATATATATATATATATTGAAGTGTAAGAAACTAGGAAGTACTAGAATATCTAGAGTGTATCGTATACTGAGATTTCGTTTGGTTGAACAAATGCACTCATATTTAAACTCACCTCAAAAACGAATATAATTCAGTTGACATCATTACCTCTTACTCATCTTTATTATTCGCATTTTTATCAAAAATGAACATTAAACATATTAAAATGAACGTGATTTGTGTACGTAATAAAATAACTTATCGGGAATAGCTTCTTCAGGCAAAACGCAAGGATTCACTTTCAACTATTATTCTCTCTAAGACTTTAATTAAAAAGAGAAGACGGATGTAATGTATTTTGAGCTTTCTAAAGTTTCGATAGAGTCGATCATACAGATTTTATCAATAAGCTTAACACGAAAGGTAATTTGCTACTGATAGGAGAAATTAAATATTTAAATAGTCAAAATTCCAAGGTAAGGGTAGGCTCCACATTCTCCCAGTCTACAGAAAGCCCCAATGGGGTCCTGTACAATAACTTGAAAACTAATGTTCCTGGCGGTCTCATTTTCCTAAGAATAAGTCGATCAATAATCATCAAAGTAAACCTAATCGTAAGTACCTATTAAATAGATCAAAGCCTTTCCAGCTAGGCGTTTCCAGAACCGGTGATCAGTTTGTGATCAAGTTATTAGTTCGCGATACCAAACTACGGGACTTTAAGCCATGGGGTAGCATGACTTAACTTACTCTCAACATTGGTGTAAAAACAAATTCAGATGAGATATTTCGTCAATTACAAATACAAATTAGACAATAATGCGCTCTAGAAGTGTCGTATGGTTGACAAAGTACCGGAAGTCTTGTTATACTATATTTCGAAGCCCTTAGCCAAACGGAAAAATACCTTTACAATAAACTTTGGAAAAGTAAATTTCTAATGCACCTTATTCCAGTTTGGTAGTAGAACATCCCATCTATATCCTAAGATTTACTAGATATCGTGTTTAAATGAATTTAGAGCACGAAAATATCGAGTTTCTGTGGTGTTCGAATGAACTAATGACGACAAGGAAATTTCACCTCTGGCCTTAACTGAATATTCAATAAAAACTGCAATGATAATTGGAGTAGCTGCTTCAGTTTCGAACTTTGGTTCACAACCCGTGTCGTTTGGGACCATGGAATATCGGTGTTTTCATCACTGGATTAATGTTTATACAGACATACCGCTAGTGTACTTAACGCATTCCAAATGCAATGAAAGCCAACAATCTTATCCCACCATAATATTTCCTTACCGCTTCCAACGTAAATGAAAAGTGTTCGCCAGGTTAAGGTCGAATGTGTTCTCGCTGATGCATATATAATCCAAAGATCAATTAGATACTATATTCGTATAGCAATACTTTATATTGAGTAAATAATATCGACTTCTTTGACACAGAAAGAACTATGATAAGGATGTTGGTATCATCCATCTATGTTTTGATTGTAGAAGACCCCTAATAAATTTTGACTAGTCTAATTGAATTAGTTTCAGTGTATTTGATAGGTACTCAGTAGATATTAACATATAAAAAGAGAATTGTGGTTTCTGGACTGTAGCCATTTTCGATCATGGCAGTGTAAAGTTTCATACTACCAAAACATTTAACACAAGAACAGTTTGGACATTCGTTTATTTATATTTTAAGTATACTTGAGATTGAGCTGGCAATAAGTTATTTATGTGGAGAGGTTTTGGAACGGAAGAACGGTGGTGAACTCTAAATTGAGGGAATAGGTGGCGCAGGGTGGGAAAGCAGCAGATCAAATCACAGACATCATAAATCTCCCAGTACTCAGTCTAAACCATCTTTTTAAGTCCTTAGACATTCTAAAACGCATTCGCTTTATTGCTGAACGATTTTATAAAATCCCTGAAGGTTACAATGCAACAGACCGGTCAGTCACCAACAAAATAATGTTCATGAATAATGGTGATAACATAAGAAACCGAGAGAATTTTCAAAAATTCTGAAAACCTCGTAAAACCGGTTTGCAGGCAATACAACTCAACAGCTTCAAAACCCGTATAGAAGTCCTTCTAGGGGATAGTACAAATCAAAGATGAAAAGGTAATATTCAGGAAACAGCCTATTGTTAGAATGAAGGAGTTATAGCTGAAAAATAAGATTGTTCATCTTTCTATTCAACATAAATATCATATTTCCTATTTCCCTTCACTAATTGATGAGACGTTTGCGTATTAATATCGTTCAACTTGTTCTTCGTATAGTGTGATAAACTACGGTGAAACCGTTTAAGTACTCGGAGTTAACTATAACAGGGGTCGATATTTCATTATTTTTAGTCAGGGTTGTGTAAATCCAAACATATGGTCACGTAGAGCCAGCGTCTGCTACTGTGATTAGGATTAGCACTTTACCTAACTTATTTATCAGGTTTACCTGATAACAGATGTCCCAGCTCCTTTTATATGCAGGTTTATACTAGATCATGGCATATAATCTTTGGTCTAAACAAGCAATAGTAAGTGCGACGAATGATTTTTCAAAATAAATATTTGGTGGTGCTCCTACCATTCTCCGATATTCCAGATGATAAGCAACGAGTTTTTTTCTTGTCATAAGATTATATATATATTTATTTACATGACGTGATATAATTTTGCTTCCTCACAGCTTTGCCCATATTTATGTATTTTGTTCTTATTGTGTCGGAACTCACACCTAAATTGGAACGTCTGAATTATATCCACTTTGTCTATTCCTGATGCGGCCAAGGGACGAAAAACCTATCACATCCGACAGTGCTTCTTTATCAAGTGTGATTGGATTAGCGTTCTCCGTGTTGTAATTCTGGATCTTGCTTTTTCATATGTGGACGTCGATGCTAACTGAAGGTAATGTTTAACTAACTGTATGAAGACTTTCATGTTCTGGCTATACGTCATGCCTCGCCACGATCAAACATATGATCCATCTGTACTTCCAACTGATGCCCGATAAGTATCCTGAACTTCCCATAGTTTCCGTATTTGACATAAAACTACAAACACCGCTGCACATCCATTTTCGAAAGCGCGCCAGAATCCTGCAAAAATCACTTTCTTACTTACTCACTTACACCTGTGACTACTCGTGAAGGAGCATAGGACACTCACCAGCATTCTCCATCCAACCCTGTCCTGGATAAGCCTTTCGATCTCCTTTCGGTTGTTATTCATCCTTTTTTGTATCTGCTTCTATTTCCCGACGTTTTGTGTCCTTTGGCCTTCCTCTTTGCCGCTTCCTTTCAGGATTCCAGCTGGAAGCTAGTTTGTTCTCTCCCACAGAAGGCTGTTGCTGATGGTATCCGGCCAATGGATGTTGGGTATCTTGCGTAGACAACCATTTATAAATACTTGTACCTTCTTGATTGTGGTTGTTGTAGTTCTCTAAGTTTCAGCTCCGTACAGTAGAACTGACTGTCTTGACGTTCGTATTGAAGATTCTGACTTTGATATTGGTTGAAAGTTGTTTTGAGTTTCATATGTTCTTCAGTTGTACGAATGCGGCCCTTGCTTTTCCAATCCTCGCCTTTACGTCTGCATCTGAGCCTCCTTGTTCATCGATGATGCTTCTCAGGTACAAGAAGGATTCTACATTTTCCAGAGTTTCGCCATCGAGGGTGACTGGACTGCTATTCCCCGTGTTGCATTTGAGGACCTTGGTTTTTCCTTTGTGTATGTTGAGGCCTACTGATGCAGAGACTGCTGCTACACTGGCTGTCTTTATCGCCATTTGTTCGTGTGTATTGGACACAAGGGCTAGGTCGTCTGCGAAGTCCAACTCGTCTAATCGGTTCGGATTATCGATTGTATGCCGTGTTTTCCCTCAGATGTCGAGATCTTCATAATCCAGTCGACCACCAGAAGAACGAGGAAGGGAGAAAGTAGACAGCCTTGTCTGACTCCGGTCCTTACTTGGAATGCATCTGTCAGCTGTCCTCCATGCACGATCTTGCATTGTAGTCCTTCGTATGAGTTCCGGATAATATTAACAATCTTCTCAGAAACTCCGTAGTGTCGAAGAAGTTTCCATAATGTCCTCCTATCCATACTGTCTAAAGCCTTTTCATAATCACTGAAGTTGATGTATAGTGACGAGTTCCACTCAATTGATCGTTCAATGATGATCCGTAGTGTTGCAATTTGGTCTGTGCACGACCGATCCTTACGGAATCCAGCTTGTTGATCTCGAAGTTGGGCGTCTACTGTGTCTTTCATCAGGTTCAGCAACATTCTGTTAAAGACTTTCCCTGGTATTAACAGTAGTGTGCTACCTCTGTAGTTTTCACATTTGCTCAGATCTCCTTTATTTGAAATCTTGATGAGGTGTCCTTCTTTCCAGTCTATCGGCACTTGCTCCTCCTCCTGAAAAAATGAACTTTCCTAAAACGAGCTCAATCACATTATAGATTTGGAAATAATCTAGCATGAAACGCCTTTAGCTGGACTCATTTAGAGCTCGAAAGCTTGACTTAAGGTGAAATTCATGGATTCTTCATGGTTCTCAGTAAATGTGGGTATTGATTGTTACAATAGTATGCTCACAAATGTAATGCGTTCCGTTAAACACTTTCTCTCTCGTTTGTAAACAACATCGATCTACTCTAACCTCACATGTGTTGATTTTCCCATTAAATAATCGAAAAATACATTCCTCTCGACTAAAATACAGACCTCGATATTAAACAACCAGGCGGAATTTGGCTATTTCCTGACAACCAGACTAAAACGATGAGTTCTGGAAAATTGTGTTTTAGAGAACTTTGGAAAAAAATAGAAGAGTCTAAGACGATTTCCTAGCACATCCCTCTTCATTTTTTGCGTACTCTATAGCAATTCAGCTGCATTGTGAATTTGAGTCTGTCTATAACGAGAGAACAGTAAATATTGATTTTTGATGTGTTCACATACATATAATAGTCGCAAAACATATCTACACATTTTTAAAGAATCCTAGAAAAGTCTTTATTTTTTCTGATTTCTTACGGTTTATAAACAAACAAATAACGGTTTATTCAGTAGGATTTGTTTCCTTGCTATACCCAAGCGTATTTCTATATGAGCCTTGAGTTATGTTCGCTCATTTTCAGAACAACTGAAAAGAATTAAGAAGCTAGAGACACACACGATGAATTGATCTTTTCACTATCCTTGGTTATTATTTGCAAATTTTTCCCTAGATTAGTAAAACTTGATAAGGCGCTTAACGGAGGGGCGAGTTATAACAGTTTTGCTTACCGAAGGCGTGTTCATACAATCTAAATCTTTGGCTGGCTGTCTTAAGTTCACATCGCTTTAGGGGAGGAAAAAGTTCATATTTTTTCATGGTTACGTGTCCGGTGCAAATTCCAATTTCACCAGTTACCGAGGATATTTAAAAGTCAATTAGATAACGAAGATGTCGTTAAATATATTTGTTTCTTAGATAACATATCGTTATGTTGTTATGTTGTGCGGAATAATCATTTTCGAGCCTAGACACCTTAAAACATAGTGGGAGAATCTGACCAGACGCTGAATTCGCGAACAAATCGTTCCTCATAAGGTGATTGTTCATGCAGTTTGCACTAAGGTGTATACATCTCGTATAAGAAATTGACCACATCGTTATCTTTCAATCTAATTTCATGCATTGACGGCCACCTTGAGAGACGACGTGCTGTTGTTTGAAGTGTAAGCACTAAAGCATAAAATTGACATTCCTATGTTGTGATTTTTACTGTATTTTTTAACATTCAATATTTTAATTCATATATGTCAGAATAATATGATCCATATAACTGGTCTACCTCAGTTGGATCACCATGCTTAAAAGCATTGTAAAAAAATGAATGTTAAATCGTAGTGTCATTTAATAATATCTTATCAACAAATCCTGGAGCGCTTATTTATTTCGAATGTCTGCTTAAACCAGTAACATGCAATCAAGTTCACTATGTCAAAATATAGAAAAATAACTTAAAACGTTTCATAATATGATATAGATACATCTCAAGATTGAATTTTTGTGAATTAACTTACTTTGACGCTCAATATATATTGAGGATTGAATCTCGCAAGAGTTTGTTTTTGTATATCACAAGTATCGACTTCTTTATTTAAAGCCGCTGAAAATGTGTTTGTGTATGTGATTCTGTGTAAGTTGATTCTGTTCAGATTTGCCGTTAATATTCGGTTTTTCATAAATTTTATTTATGATTTGACATGTTTTGCTAATGTAAGGCGTGCCTAAAGCAATTGTTCCGTTTCAACACTGAAACATTTTCAATGTTTTATGTTTATTTACGAATTTCCCATTTCTCCAGAATTATAGTTTCTTATTTAAAAATGATATTAATCATTGTTCACTCTGACCAATTTGTGTCTGTTACATGCATGGAAGTTTTGTATCACGTTGATATTGAGTTGAATAAACCGTTGTGTCAACCTATATGCATGTTTGGATTTCGTCGTGGTTACTGATGTTTTATTTGCCTGATAAGGGAAACAGAGCATCGATTTTGATTTAAGACACCTGAAAAATTATAGTTGGTGTGCTAATCATTACAATTAACAGTATTGGTATCAATCAAATTAATTTTTTGATAGTTAAAATGAGTTCATGGATTTACGTTCTTCGGGAAGAGAAGTCTTATAATCTCCATTGTTTTCAAAGTTTGCACGCTGACTTTCTATCTTTTATTTTGCATAGATATATACATTCACAGAAATAAGTTCTGTTGTTTCATGTTTATATAGG